GGGGGGGGGGGGAAGCGCGTCTGGGTCCACCAGAGAAAAGTTAGATGAGAATCAAATCTTACACAAAGTTAAGTTATCATGCTCACAGCATGAACAGCTGGACAATCAAATGGAGTCGACGGGGGAGAGGGTAGGCCCCATAAACCATCTTACCACCAGCAAACTGATTGGCCCACTATGTGAGCATGCTGCTTGTGAGACTGAGTTTGTTGTTAATCCGCAGACTGGATAAGTCCTTTGGATGAAGGACGAAATGTCTCAACAAAAAAAGAAACCGTCCAGAGGACCTGACTGAACTTTGTAGGATTTTTTAAATCTGGATTATTGAGCATGAACTTTGATGATAAAATGGAGGGTATTTCAATTCAATTCAATTCAGTTTATTTATATAGCACCAAATCACAGCAAAGTTGTCTCAGGGCACTTTACAGAAACATTCACATACATAAAAGCCAATTAGTAAAGTTCTCTATCTAAGGAATCCAGCAGACAAGATGAATCTTGGCTTCAATGCAGTCTCCCATCCTGAGCAAGCACAGTGTCTCTCACAAGTCTCTCTTTTGGCACCATGACGGGGGGCAACAAACACTTGAAATTACTGCTACATTCATTACCAAATTGATAGGTGGTGATTTTTTTTTTGCTCTACACTTAAATGCAATTTGTTCACATCATTGTGTTTGTTTCTACTTCTTTTTGCATGTGTATATGTTTTTAAATGTGAAATTGTGAAAATTGCTTTGTAATCATTTCAAAATACCCTGACACCATAAATTAACAGAGGTAATTAAATTAAATTAATTTCAGTTTATTTATATAGCAGCAAGTCACAATAAAGTTGTCTCAGGGCACTGAACAGAAACATCCACATACATAAAAAGTCAATTATTAACATTATTTATCTAAATAACAGCAGAAGCCAGCAGACACCTCTTTAATAAAGAGGAAGAAGTGCTAGTTTCATTTTTTCAACATTTTTGAAATGAGGAAGTAATAAAAAACAACTGTCAGTGTGACACAAAAATTAAGCAAAAGAGAAGCGAAACACTAGTATCCAAATCATTTACCATCAACGTTATTTAGATTATTTTCAAGAGCTTCAATTTGAATCTGCTTTCACAACAAAATATGTATTATTTTTAGACCAGATATATGAGGGCTTAATAAATACTTGTTTTAAACAAACATGAAATAAAGGTACCCTCCCTCTGCCTTGCTGAGCTGCTTTCACTTCCTCATTGGATAAATAGAGGATGTTGGTATCAGAAAGGCCAACAGTTTTTTAACCTCACAACAAAATTTTGCTAACATTGAAATGCTGGACAACACTTTCTCCTCCATCTGAAAGGATCATTTTCTCGAAAATTAGTTATGCAAATCATTACCTGAAGATTAGCTACTTCCTAAAGTTACACAGTAAGTATTGGAAAACATTATTTGTATTAAAAATGACAGTTTTAAATTGACATTCATGCACAGCATGTTGGAGGGGTTGATTTAATGTTACTTTTAATCAACATTTTAAAAATTGTTGGAAATGTAAAGGTAATTTTTGCATTTTAATATTTGAATTTGTTCATATGTTTTATTCCATTTTCAGGATAACTGGCTATAGTTGTTCTCACCAAGCTTTGGATTAAGATTTAAAAATGGGACCAGAAGAAAACAAAACAAGCCCAAAAGGAGGATCAAACTGTTTTAAGCTTAGCCCCACTACTTTCTTCTTTATCTGTTGCTTTGTTCCAATCAATTGTTTTTCTCTAAAGGGTTGCCGAATCAGCCACAATGCAGCCATATGTGTGATGACTAACTCAACACTCAAAACTGTTCCTCAGGATATTCCCCCAACAGTGACAGGCCTTGATTTATCTAAAAATCACTTGATCAGCATAGAACCATCAGATTTCCCAAAACTACCACATCTGAAATGGTTAACCCTTAAAGAAAACCACATTACACACATAGGCAGCTTTGCTTTTGCCAGTTTGATTTCCTTGCAGAAATTAACTCTTAATAGTAACAAACTTGTTAAGCTGGTCCAGAATGTATTTGGTGGTTTGGGCAACCTCACTGAATTGAGACTTAACACAAATTCCATTGAAAAAGTATCATGCACCTCCTTTCAGTCCTTGATGAGCCTAAAGATTTTAGATATCTCTTACAACAAATTGCAAACGATGGAAAATCTCCATCTAATCCTGCAGCATCTACCACAGCTACAGGAGCTGGCAGTAAAAGGCAACAGATTCACAAGTTTTCAATCACAGGAACTAACAAACCACTCACTGAAACTTCATGTCCTGAACCTGTTTTCTAATCCTTTCAAAGACTTTAGAATAACTGGAGATATATTCCCAAATCTGACACACTTTACCATTGGTGACCCTTTCAGTTCCTTGAAAATGAAATGGGATGTGAGTAACAAGACTTTCCTAAGTGGAGTGTCCAGTCTAGATATTAGTAGCCTTTACATGGCTATTGATGACAAAAAAGACTTACTTGAAGCAGTGAACTCATCACTTACTTATCTATCACTGAACAGAATGAAAAGAATGAAGTATACTATCAGTACACTCATTAACATTTCATGCACCATTCCAACCATGTCCTATTTGCAGGTTCGACAAAACAGACTTCGAAACATCTATTCGAGTATGTTTAAATTGTGTGTTTATGTGACTAAATTGGATTTAGCAGATAATAGTCTAGAAATTATCCCAGACAATGCTTTCACACCAATGAGAAGTTTAAAAATTTTGACTCTGAGTAAAAACAGATTCATCTCAGTTCCATCTGCAATAAGAAATCTGCCTAATCTTTCTAAGCTAGATCTCAATACCAACAAAATCACTGCAGTTAAATGTCAAGACTTCTCCAAAATGACAAAGCTCATTGAGCTTAATTTGTATAACAACTCAATCCAAGATCTAAAACCCTGTGTGTTCGAGGATTTAGTAGAACTTCAAATTCTGAGATTACAATGCAATATGATAAATAAAATAAATGGATCATTTGAAAACCATCTACCAAACCTTAAGCAACTGCGACTGAATGGAAACAGACTGACTGAAATAAAGAAAGATGAATTTAAAGGCATGCATTCCCTACTAAACCTATCATTACATGAAAATAAAATTAAAAAAATTCATGCAGGCAGTTTTGTTGGACTAACAAATCTTACTGATATTCACCTACAGTCAAATTGCATCACAAGACAGGCACTGATAATGACTTTCAATGCATTAGTTAATCTAAGAAGTTTGGATTTAAGCCATAATCACATAAAATATACTGACAGCAGAGCTTTACATAAACCACCATTTTCTAATCTGTCCCATCTGGAGGAGCTGTTATTTCCTGCACAGCACTACAGGGGAAAGTCTTCTCTGCCTTTCAACTTCCTGGAAGGATTAACAAATTTGTTGCGTTTCAGTGTCAGAAACAGTCAGCTTATCTACCTGGACAAAAACATGTTTAAGTACACGCCTAAGCTGGAAGAACTTGATATTAGCTCAAATGACTTTAGCACTCTGTCTCCTCAACTGTTTTCCTCAATTCAGAACCTTAAAAGCCTCTATATATCCAGAACAGCTCTTCAGTCATTAGATTTCCTCATAGATGCCAACCTGACCAAGCTGGAGTTTTTGCAGGCAAGACGCAACCAGTTCTCGGTTATCACTGAAGCCATGATAAAGTCCCTACCATCTCTGGATTATCTGGACTTTACATTTAACAGTTTTTTCTGTGACTGTGATAATGCTTGGTTCCTCAACTGGACAATATCCAGCACACAAACCCAGGTTTTTGATGCATATAACTTTGTATGCAACTATCCAGATGACTTCAGTGGTGGAAAGCTTATGGACTTTGATCTAACATCATGTGTGCTGGATATTGGCTTCATCTGCTTTGTGTCCACAACATGCATAATTGTCTTTTGTATTGTCACATCCTTCACCTACCACTTCATGAGGTGGCAGCTCTATTCTGCCTATTACCTCTTCTTGGCTTGGCTTGTAGAAAAAAAACATCAAAACAAGAAAGCTCCTCATCAATATGATGCTTTTATCTCCTACAATGCTCATGATGAGCCCTGGGTGATTGAAGAGCTCTTACCAAAACTGGAAGGAGAGCAGGGCTGGAGGTTGTGTCTGCACCATCGAGACTTTGAACCAGGTAAGACCATCTTTACTGTAGTTGTCTGATATTTGGAATTAAATAAAAATAAACACTCATTAGACTTCCAGTTAATATACTTAGATCATTTTAGATGAAGTGATTAGTGTTTATATTAATAGCCCCAAAAGACAAATCCTACTGGTCCTGGGGATTTTTTTAATATCCCATTATCATCTGTAAGTTTAGCACAGCACTTATTTCCAAAAGAAGAAGGAACATAGAGTGACCTATAAGAGTGAGGGAAAGAATATGCAGGTCGACTACATTCTGTGTAGAAGAGGAAACCTGAAGGAGATTGTGGACTGTAAGGATGTGGCAGGGGGAGCCTGGCCAGACAGCATCGGATGGTTGTGTGTAGAATGACTAGTGTTGTGAAGAAGAGAAAAAGGGTAAAATCAGAGAAGAAGATCAAATGGTAGAAGTTGAGGAATGAAGAATGTTGCGAGAAATTCAGAGAGGAGCTGTTAAAGGGTCTGGGTGTTAAGAAAGAGCTTCCAAATGACGGAGCTGCTACAGGTAGTAAGGTACTTGGTGTGTCATTTGTACAGAGAACAGATGATAAGGAAACCTGCTAGTGGAATAGTGAAGTGCAGAATGCCATTCAAATAAAGAGGTTAGCCAAGAAGAAAAATGACATTGAGAGGACTGAAAAGAAGAGACAGGAATTTAAGGAGATGCAATGCAAAGCAAAGAGGAAGGTAGCAAAGATAGAGGTGGAAAAGCAGAAGGTGTATGATGAGTTGTATGGGAGGCTGGACACTAAAGAGGGTGAGAAGGACTTTAACAGATTGCCAAGGCAGAGGGATCAGGCTGGAAAGCATGTGCAGCAGTTAGGCTTGTGAAATATATGAATGGTAATGTTCTAACAACTGAGGAGTGTGATGGGAATATGGATAGAATACTTTTATCAAAGTCAAGTCAAAGTTTCTGTATTTGACATTCACACCACATGTGGTACATGTGGTGGAATGAAATTGTGTACACAGGGTCCCAGTTACATCCAACTAAATTATAAATTGTAAAGAAAAACTGTAATAAGATCTAAGATATGAACTAAGAACTATGTTACACAAAAAGTACTCTAAGCACTAGTAGTACAAAAACCATACGCCAGACAACAGTGGCACGAACACCGATGAATGTTGATGAGCAAATGAATGAAGAGAATGAAAGAGACAAAAGAGTAGAGGTTATAGAAATTGTGAACAATGAAATGGGAAATATAATGAGAGTGAAGTTTGGAAAGCTTAGAAACTAATGAAGAAGAAGGCAGTAGGACCTGATGATATACCAGTGGATGTTTGAAAATGTCTAAGAGAGAGAGCAGTGAAGTTTTTGACTCAAATGTTCAATGGCATATTTAAGGTAGAATAAATACCTGAGGAATGGAGAAGAAGTGTGCTGGTAACTATTTTTAAGAACAATGATGATGTATAGAATGTTAGCAACTACAGGGAAATTAAGTTGATGAGTCACACAATGAAGATCTGGGAGAGAGTTGTGGAAGCAAGACTTAGAGAAGAGGTGACCATTTGTGAAAAGCAGTATGGTTTCATGCTGAGAAAGAGCACCACAGATGCAATCTTTACTTTGAGGATGCTGATGGAGAAGTACAGAGAGAGTCAGAAAGATCTCCATTGTGTCTTTGTAGATTTATAACAAGCATAGGACAGAGTGCTGAGGGAGGAGTTGTGGTATTGCTTTAGGAAATCTGGTGTGGCAGAGAAGTAACAGTGAGGCTACAAGGGGCAGAGGTCACAAAGGTGCAGGACTTCAAATACTTGAGGTTCACTGTCCAGGAAAATGGAGAATGTGGTAAAGAGGTGAAAAAGAGAGTCCAGGCAGGATGGAGTGGATGGAGAAACATTTCAGGAGTGATTTGCGACAAAAGGGTGTCATCAAAGGTCAAAGGAGAAGTGTAGTTTTAATCAAATGATTGGTGTGGTCAAAAACTAGTCTCTGGTGACCAAGTCCACCTTTTGCCACCCACTGTCACTCCCATTATGCCTGTCGGTGAATCAAATTGCTTCCTCCACTCACAAGAATCAGTCACTCTATGTTTCTCAAAACAAGCAAAAAAAATGTTTAAAAAAAAACCACTCAAGGTCAAGGTTCTTTATTGTCATTCACATCACATGTGATAGATGAGGTGGAACTAAATTGTGTACAAAGAGTCCCAGTTACATCCAAAAGTAGCAAAAATATAAAATGTAAAAGAAACAGTACTAAGGTTCTAAGCTATAAACTAAGAAATACGCTAAACACTAAATAGTGCAAAACAATATGCCGAACAACAGCAGCATGACTATTACTATCCCCAGTGTAATTCCTACCTACTTGAATTTCCAGCACCAAAAATATTGAGGTTTATTTGCATTCCCCATTCAATTCACATCTGCAAAATACACTCATCCCGAAACATTCCTTATTCAAAGATTCTGTCTATAGTTAGATTCAGCTACCTGATTTATTGAGCAAGTATCAGGACATTCATTTTTCAAATATTTCAGTGATGGAGGACATTAGTGTACTGTTTAATATTCCATTCAACCAATATTTCAGGTCATCTACAGTACCTTGGAGATATCCTGATGCATGCTCAATAATCCAGGTAGAAAATTCTAAAAAAGTTAAATCTGGTCCTCTGGACATTCAAAAAAACAAAACAAAGCAAAACAACAAAAAAATGTAGAAACGTTTCGTCTCTCATCCAAGAGACTTCCTCAGTCTGAGGTGCTGTATTCAGCTCAGTCTCTTAAATAGCACCTTCTCAGAGTGGATCAACCAGTTTTGCTGCTGACAACCAAAACCAGCTGATCACATGCTCAAGAAGGACCATCAGCCTAACAATGGATCATTAGCACACTGATGGCTGTTTCCTATTCACAGAGGGCTGAGTGATACTAGCAATCACAGCATTGTAAGAGAGGGACAATTGAACACGTAGGCCTCCACCCCTGTTTAACGATGGACGATTTCTTTTCACAAAGATGGCCTCCCTTACTCCTCTCTCAAACCATCGTTCCTCTCTATCCAGGATGTGCACGTCTTCATCCCTGAAAGAGTGACCGCTGGCCTGGAAATGAGTGTAGACCGCAGAGTCCTGGCCTGATGTTGTTGATCTTCTGTGCTGGGCCATCCTTTTGGCCAGTGGCTGTTTTGTTTCCCCAATGTAAGACTGATCACAGCCCTCCTGACACTGAACAGCATACACAACATTACTCTGTTTGTGCCGGGGGACTGGATCTTTGGGATGAACCAGTCTTTGCCGTAATGTATTTTGGGGTTTAAAAGCCACTGGGACGTTATGTTTAGAAAATAAACATCTCAGTTTCTCTGATACTCCCTCAACATATGGAATGACCACTGGTCTGGGTTCCTCCTTTTCACCTGTTAGCTGACTGCAGTCCTGTTTGGGTTTCTTCTCTGCTTTCAGGAATGCCCAGTTAGGATATCCACATTGCTCTAGAGCCTGTCTTGTGTGGGATTTCTCCTTCTGCCTGGCTCCTGAGCTAGTGGGGACGCTGTCTGCTCTGTGATACAGAGTCCTTATGACTCCTAACTTGTGCTCCAAAGGGTGATGGGAGTCAAACTGCAAATACTGGTCTGTGTGGGTGGGTTTG